TAATAGGCATTCAGTTACTGTGAATGTGATGAAGCAAGTAAAGACACTGTATGATTCTACTGCACGCTGGCTTGAAGTGTCACAAGTGAATCAACACGTGTTTGAAGTGAAAGGAGGTACGTTGGTTCATGTTGTGAATTTGGAAACAAGAGACTGCACGTGTTGTGTGTTCAATATCACGAAAATCCCGTGTGCTCATGCAATAGCGGCTGCAAAACATATTAATCTTAACGAATATGATTATGTTGATACCTTATACTCCAACAAAAGGTATGTCATATTCTAACTTTACAGGTATGTTACTATATAAAACAAGTTATAAAACTGTATTTTAAAATTTTTTATAACCATTAAAACCTTGTAAATCAATTTCTTATCAAAATCATCAAAAAACCTTGTAAAATATTATAAAAACATTGTGAAACCTTTATCATGTCTTGTAAAAACTTGTTCAACCTCTAAAAACCTTGTAAGACCTAAAAAAACCTTCTGATTGTCTTGCAAACCTTTGAAAACTCTTACAATTTTTAAAAATTACATCTTTGTTTGACAGTTGGACGCTAGCATATTCAGAGAGTATATATCCCGTTGGTGATAGGACACAATGGGAGGTTCCAGCCGATGTTGCTGCTTTTGTTTGTCGACCACCATCTTCTCGTGTTCCTAGTGGCAGGCCTAAGAAAAAGAGAATACCTAGTGGATGGGAGTATGGAAAATCTGCAACAAATTACAAATGTCGTCGGTGTGGTCAAAATGGACACAACAAAAGTAGTTGTGTGGCTCCAATATAGTTTTTACTTTATTTTATTACATAACATATTAAGTATTTTGTGACTTTTTTAAAAAATATTATTGAAAAACTTTCATAACTTGTTATAAAACCTTTTTTACGTTTATTCTTGGAGAAAGGTGTTACTACGTTTTCAAAAAGTTGTTACACTTGTAAGATCTATATAAAATCTTTTTAAAACCCTTGTAAAACCCTTTAAAACACTTTAAAAAACCTTGTAAAAC